GTTCGATCGAGCCATGGCTGCCAACTAATGGCAGAAGCCGCCTTATTTACCCCGAGGGCAGAAGCTTCGAGAACATTCCAGCATATACAAATGCAAGGCCCCGCACATCATTCCTTCGGTAATTTTTATAGTTTTAGAAAGTGTTGCAAGATTTTCTTTCCAACCCAATAGAAAGGTAGCTGGCGCACGCATAACGGACGTAATGTTGATTGAAAGAAAAATTCAACTATTGTTGTGGATCTCCTCAGAGCAGTTTTTCCGTGGGTCGTTTTTCCAAAAACATTTTTTCCGCCAGCAAAAAGGGGGAACGTATAAGGCTGAAATTCGGTGGCATGGAGTTCACTGAGCCTACATTTCAAAAGAAAAAATATTTCCGTTAAAACTCATGAAACTTTTTTCAATGGAAAAAGAGAAGTCCCTACGTTTATCGTAGATGCATGTTGCAAACTTAGAGTCAGATATTTGTAAATTCAGATCTAGATAACGAGCTGCATCAAATGGAGGATTCGTTGTTTCTTCCACTTCCATTGTATCTTCCATTGTATCCATTGTATCTATCCATAGTAATGTTGATGTCCTTATTCAATTTGCAATTATCAATCGCCAAAAGGTCATCAATATATTGAAACGTAAATAGAAATTCTGACGGAAAGAAAGTATTTTTCATGTGTAGAGATTCATAGTAAAATAAGAAAAGATTGGCCATGTTAGTTGAATAATTACTGCCCATTGGTATGCCAACTACTTGTCGGAATATTCTATTTCCAACTCGAATGTAGTTGAAGTCCAAGTTTCCCTCTATAAGTCTGAAAAGTCTTATTTTGCAATATACTCCTGTATGCCCATGCAGCAACCAATAGGTTGCTGCATGGGCATACAGGAGAGCATACATCAAGCTAAATGGCTTGATGCAAAGAGATATTGCTTCTGATTTTCAATGGTTTTCCCTGATATGGCGGCAATTGTAAACATCTCCATGTAATCATTAAGACTGGAGTCAAAGTTGGAAGTCCGTTGGTTCCAAAAGTTCCCTTATGTTCATTCCAGGACTGTCTCCGAACACAAGCGTTGATCTTCGTTTTAACAATATCACTACATTTGCTGAGAAGAGCTTCCGTCCCATCTTGGAGGTTTTATCACTCGGACATGAATTTCTCTCCCTCTTTGATCCACCGAATCCATGGGATTCAGGGGTCTGTGAGTTGCACAGCCTCATCTGCTCGTATTGTCTTCCATATCACTTTAACTTTATCTCTTTCATTCCACTATTTGCTCTTCTCCTTTTCAGTCAATTCCATCCAATGCGATTGTGAAGTTGCATGGCTTGTAGTTAATCAGCAATTCCTCAGGAGAGTAAAAGGAAGTTGTAATAATGGAACGAGATTTCAAGAATTGGACTTGCATGTAATGGAAAGCTGTCCCGGTCGATGTCCTTACATGTGCGTCAGTGTTCACCTAAGCTCTCACTGCGAGCCAGGAACTGAGATTCTCTCGAAAGTGGAAAGCTGTCAACCTGAGGAGCTGTGCTGCCAGCCATATGCGCCGAGAAGCACAATGATGTCACCTCGTGGGCCAACAGGTATGGTGCAGACATATGTAAATCAGGAAGAACGTATTCTCCCTATAGTCAATGCATATTAGGAGTAATTGCAATAGCATTTCTTCAATATTTGATGAGCAGGATAAAGTTTTTGTTAAGTAACGGCCACTTCCTGATACTAACATGGCAGTGGGGCTAATATAATCGCTGGTTAAGTTTCTGATCGTTCCATTTGACTTTTGGTGCATAGAGATGCATACAATGATTAGTGCGATGCTGAATTGCACATCGATAAATATTAATTGTTTGTGGGACTCGAGCTCCATTAACGGACAGAATGAGTAAAAAAGCCGCACCCGTTGCAGGACTGGTGAATTTCGATGCACCAGGCTATGAAAAAACCGTTAGTAATTCCATAAGTACGATCGACGAAAAATACTCTGCCTTTGAGTCAACGGGTTCCTGAAATTGGGAGCGAATGTCTGATCCCGATCGATCTGGGATTGTGGCTGCACTTGTGTATGTGGCTGTGGATCAAAGTGCCACAAGTTTATCCGTGGTGGATGACGGCACGATAGGATACTGTTGCTAAGAAGACAGCTTATTGGTGAAGGCAAGTTATTAACGCAGCTGAATATACATCACAATAATATCACGAGTTCTCGTAAGACCTCACGACCTTTCCTTTCAAATCCGCCGAATTTCTTTTGAGGGTTGTGGGGTTACTTTTGAGACATCGAGACATCCTGAGATATCTTCCTGCAACGTTTGAAGTGCCTCCCCGCCGGAAGTGTTCACCGGAAGTGTGTAGTCCACCTCGCTGTTTTGGACTTCAGAGATTCTCTTCTTGCCGGGAATTTCTTCAGGGGGAATTCAACCTTTGTCTCCTCGATCGATGGCCGGATTCATTGCAGTGACGAGCGGATCAGCAAAAGCACGGATCCGGTTCATCAGTTCGTCGTCTTCTGCAGTGTTTGCTTCCATGAAGTTGGCGGCATTTTCGAGGTGTCTGATTCCGTGAACGTGAGCACTTTCCCGATGCTGGTATTCTGTTCTTTCCCAGTAGTCCCGCAGGTGAAGAATTTCGACCGTGAAAATGTTTCTGAACGGTTCGACCCGCTTGTGGAAGTACCAGTCCAAAAGCAGAGGGTTCTAAGATACAGCTTCGGCTGAATTCGTTGCAGGAGGGAGTAATTTACGTAATCCTGGCCAGTGTAAGTCAGCCTCAGACAAAGTGTAAAATACTGTTGATTGTCCCAGTAGCTCCACGAATGCTTTAAGGTTTGCACGTTGAGTTCCTCAATACTGTCTCGAGCCCTTGAAGTTTGCACCAAAGTGAATGATTCTCCGTACTATTCCAGGGTGTACTCAGCGATGGTCACATCACGTTTCTGTGCTGGTCCCAAGAAATCCACTCTCCCATTTGCGAAGAGAGTGGGGAAGGCGCACGTCATATAACCCTCAGTTGTAAATTCATTTATCGGATCCCTTCCCAATTCCATTCACGCAATGGCTTCGTCCTCGTTACTTGCAGCGGTTCGTCCGTCGCGTTCTAGTCCCTGGCGAAACCGACCGGGAAGGAATCGTCCACTTCGCCAAGCCCCTCATCTCCTGGAACCTGTTCCGGTTTTCGTCAGGTCCTTGCAGATCTTGCTCCCTAATCGTCATATCGCCATCGCTTGGCAGTTGCAGTAAGTCTTCTTTCGCGATCTCAACATCCTGGAAATATGGGCAATGCCGTTGTAGCCAGCGAAGTGCACGAAGTATTTTATCTCTTCGTACACGGAAGTCACGGTGCGTTCCCTGGACACCAGGTCGTCTGAAAATATCTATGCTAACCTGAGCAAGAGTGAGAGGAAGCCGTTGCACCATGCCTCCGACATCCTGAGGTAGATTGATCACGTGACCACGATATCCAAGTTGATCAAAAGGTAATTTTTACACTGTCATTAGAGAAATAACTTTTGAAATGAGGAGTTCCTCAACTTGTGTCAAATCCCTCAGCTCATCTGTTACTGCAGACGGAATCATATGGTTTTCGGGGCTGAAAGTTTTAACGATGTTCCCTTGGAACCTTCGTGGTGGGTGATCATTTTTTGTAACGCTGACATTCTCCAGTCCAATCATCTGTGTCGGCTATATTGATCTCGTTACATGCAATGCAGTCATGAAATCTGAAGGAATCCATCGTAGCCTCAAAGCATAGAGATATGGGCCAGTAAGGAGGAAAATTTTGCAGAGGTACTTGTTGCTCCCTTTCGTCGTGGTTGTTACTTCTTATGTTCCGCATTCTTACGGCACTCGTGCGCCGTCTGGCTCGGGCAGCCTGGGGCGCTTCTTCCTGTCTAAATGCCTCCAGGCGAGCTCTATAGTATTTTCTTCCCTACGGACTTGAGTAGCCTCGAGATTTTAAGGAAGTCTCTGTGCCTCCATGCGAGCTCTAGTTGTTTCTCGTCGAACTTCTGCTGTTTCTTCACTCTCTTCATCTCTTCGTCGTCGCATTGAGTACGATTGATCCGCTTTTGGTTTTCTCTCTCTCGACGACATAATGCTTTGCGGTAAAAAAAAATATTTGAAATTGGCTCACAAAAATTATAATAAGGGCGTTTCCTTATTCCGGGTGGCCCAAGCAATTTTCTTCCAAATTTTACACTCCTGCAGACGGAGTACCATAAGAGTTTTCAACACGAAATTTACAGGGTTTTCCGGGCAATATTTTCAAGTTATGAAAGAAAAATATACTTGAAATTGTTTGCAAACTATTGATACTTGAGTAATACATTTTCTCCCGCGCGATGTCAAAAGGGCGAGTTTGTAAATAAATGCAACTGACTTCAATGAAAGAATGTAGGAAAGAGGAAAGAGGAATGTAGGAAGACACGGAACATAGCAACACAGCACAGCGACGATTCGCAAATCACAGGGTTTTTTTCTATGCTACTGGCTCCTATACAGTAGACCTTTAATTTTTGGTGCCATCTACCAATGCGGCAGCGACACAAGAAAGCAATCCACCCAATGCATATTTCTCGCTCTCGTAGTCTTCCTTGCATCCTTCATGAGCGCTTTGAAAGGACTGAAGATGATGTAAGCAGTGACCAACGAGCACGTAATGAAGCAATTCTGAAATTCAGCCAGATTTTGAGGGATTCACCCCAATGAGGAAACTGCGGTGATTGACTTCTTTGCGGAACCGTGTGAACACAAGTGGCGACGAACTGGCGAATCGCCCCGTACTTCATCGTGGACTCTTCAAATCCCCGGATTCCCGGCAGCAGGCGAAAGACACGAAAGTGACTGATGCCACCCTTCCCTTGCGAAGCCCACGGGCAATTCTCGTCTCCTCGTTCATCCGGAAGATGGCGAGACGAGAGCGAATAAACAATGTTCAATGAAAGTTGCCTCGCCATCCTTTCGTGAGGCCGTTTTTCAAATTTCATTTCTGAAAGGCACATCCTCGGATGATGAGGAAGAGTTCTGCCGAAACGCTAAGTTCATATCTCTAAGCGTCCTTCCTGTAGAGCTGTCACACACACACAAACAAATGCAATCGTCGCTCGGCCTTGCTAGCGATCAGGATCGCGCATGCTATATGTTTAACCTCCGGACCTCGGTTTAACCGAGGTCCTCCGGTTTGAATTATTACTAGTGGCAGGTAAACCTGCTACAAACCGGAGGAAATTAAATCCTCTGTTATCGTGGAAGGAATCACTATGATCTTCAGAGACTACCTCCCCAATAGCACCCAAACGTATTTAATGAACGTTTCATTCAAGTTATTCTCAGCGTTCCATTAATGTCCTTGGGAATGTTCTATTGACTGCTTAAATGTTCCATTATAAAGCAATGAAAATAGTTCATATTATGCGTTCCCTAAACTACATGAATGTGATGCTTCCATGGAAAGTGTTCAAAAAGCCTTATTTTTTAGGATTCATCCGATATGGAATTAACTTTTTGCCTACGTTCTTTTCATCTCATGAAATGGATTCAGTCTAAATAAAGCCCTGCGCCCGTGGCTGGCGTTAGAAAACACCATGTACCCGGAAAGTAGGATGGAAGGTACTATCCTACATTGTCTGGGACGTTCTGGAGAAGAAGCGTGAAGCAATTCAGTCTCACCATAAAATTCTCATCCTATCAACAGCTATCCCAGATTCAGGAGTCAAACATCCTCTCCATCAAAAACTCTTTCCATGAGAGTGATGATGAAAAACACAAAAACCGCTTCCCATGAAGTCCCCTTGGAAATTGAACCATTCTCCCACTATCCCTCTAGCCAGAGTTCCCTACAGACTCCTTGAAGTGGGCAACCTCTCAAGACGGATTTGTTCAAAAATTCGAGTATCATCCGCTCTGGTTTATGTGGAGGGAGATCGGCTACCTCGTGGAAAGCATAAGGGGAATGAATCCAGATATATCAGGAAATGACTCGTTTCAGGGACGACCTTGGCGCCATCTAGCGTCGATGGTGCGAACCTTCGCTTCAAGCACACAAAAGGTGATGATTATTGTACATCGGACGTCCAAAGACCTCTTAGAAAACACGTTGAACGTTCTCGAATGCGTTTATGTGCTACTTGGGCGATGTCATACGTATTAAGCCTGCATGTGTGAATGGAGCGAGGGAAGCGAATGCGAATGGATGGGAAGGAAAATGAAGGAAGATGCAACACACAGCACAGCGACGATGCGCAAATTACCGTCTTCTTGTTTTTTTGCAAGATCCCGGCTCCCAGACAGCACACCTGTATTTTTTTTTGCTACCTACCAATGCGACTGCGATACGGGCAAACGATCCAACCCTTTGCAAAACTCTCACTCTCTCCGACCTCCGTGCGTCATTCGTCCGATTCCACAAATCTGCATTAAGAGCCAAGGAAAAAAACGAGGAAACCAGGGCGATGGATTTGAAGGGGGAGGCCCGTGCGAACGCAGGTGGCGACGAGCTGAGGAATCGCCCCCGTATTTCCTCATGGACCCTTGAAATCCCTGGATTCACGGCAGCAGGCGGGAGGCACGAAAGCGAGCGATGGCAGTCTTCCCTTTTGAGAACCACGGCAACTCTCTTTTGCAAGTTAATCCGAAAGATGGCGAGACGAGAGCTAATCGCCGATTTCCAATGAAACCCCAATCATATCTCTAACCGTTTAGGCTGTAGAACTGTCACTCACACAAACACACACACAAACACACTCACACACACACACACACACACACAAACAAACAAAAAAAGAATCCATTGTCGCTGGGCCTAGCTAGCGGCCCAGAATCGCGCACGCTAAATTGTTTAACCTCCGGACCTCGGTTTTTTCGCAACCGAGGTCCTCCGGTTTGAAAAATCAGTAGATTTCGCTGTACCGATTCCTAATGACTATCCAAAAGAATTAATTTTTCAGTGCTTTCACGGAGAAAATACTAATATGGTGAGGTCCGGATTTCGATTGAAGTCATCCGGCTTCAGCGTGGAATGTCGCTCGTGAGATTATTTAACCCTTATATGCCACCATAGATCGTATCGTGCTCACGTTCAAGGTCCTTAAAACCCGCTTGCATCATGAAATCTCCTAGAACTAAAATACCGATCTTGATTTGCTTCTTGTAAGTACGTAAGTACGTCAACCGGACGAGGACACAAAAAAAAAACATAAGAAAAGATGGAAGCACGGAAGGGAAGATCCGTCCCTCAAGGTTGTTTTCCTTCCCCAGATGAGGAAATGCACGACGGCCAGAACCAAACTGAAGAGAGATGCACAACGGGATCTGGAGATAAGAAAAGGGAGGAATGAGTAAAACAGGTTCGAGGGAAACGGAGTGAAAGGCTGGCGACGGTCGTTCGAGCCCTCTTCCCGCGCGTCTGGGGAAAGCGCTGCCTTCCCTTCGGTGCATCGATCGACAGGCAGTTGGCAAGTGCGGCCTCGGCACGTGAGTCGAGTGGCTTCCGCGGATCGCTCAAGCGAGCGAGGATCGTCAAGGGTGTTGGACGCGTTTTGTTAGCTGGATGTGCTTGTGTATTGCGTCTTAGGGTAACATGGGATCATTTTTCTTTGTCTGATGGAAGTAATCGGGACTAGTTAAGCACAGGTATTCAAGGTCAAGTTAGCAAATTATGAGGGACTTGCATGAAGGAAGTCATACGTTGTGAAATATAGTTATGAGAAAAGGTAAAAAATTGAGGGCGGTAGCTGAAAGGATTCTTCAAAGTCTCTACCTCTTTATTTCTCTGTCACGTTACCAGCTCAGGTAGGGTGAAAACAATCCGTTTGATCCACGGTATAAGTGTTTCCACCCTCGGCCAACTTTGGAGCCGCTGATGAACCGCTGAAGACGCTCGAGAAACGTGTGAGCTATAGCATCGACTTTTGTTGCTAGTTTCGTAGCATTAATGAATAAATGAATGATATTTCAACCTAATCCCCGTCGAAGGCGCAACCAGAATCCACGAAATCGGATCGATAGAGTTGGTATGCCTCCGTGCTGATAGTCGTATTACAATGCATCTAATCTGTATGCGAAGTTGAAGGAGTGACTCGGTTCGAGAGCGCGAAGAGTGGTATGACGTCGCCGTTGACAGGAGAAGCGAAGGCCGTAGGAATCGACCGAGAGCGGAAGGTGGTCGAGGTGTGCACGGAGTCGGGGGAACGGCTGAGCCTCCCGTGGATCTGGCTGAGGGACCACTGTCGCTCCGCGACGTCCTACAACCACCGCACCTTCCAGAGGAAGCAGGATCTCCTCGCCATCCCCCTTCACCTCGAGCCGACTCGTGCTCGCGTGGAGAACGACACGCTCTTCGTTCAGTGTGAGTTCCTGCCTGATTCGATTATCGAAACGACAGGTTTTTCAGCCGCATGAGCATCATCGTGAAGGCTGCTTGCACCGGTGTAGTTATGAGTCTACAGCGGAAGTCTCTGACCCTGAATGAGCGGCTCTGTAACGGGCGGAAGCTAAGGCGCATCACGTAGTGCTACTTAATATCTGCGAAGGAATAGCACCATCCTGACAATTATCGAAAAAACGCCTCTCAATCCTTTCGATTCACGAACCAGGGGACGACGGCTACGAATCCGAGAGCGGAATCAAATGGCTCGCCGAAATCAGCCCCGGCCGCGGCACCGCCCTCCGCGCCTCCGTCTACTCCAAGCGAATCCCCTGGGGCCAGGGCCAGCAACTCCACGATCGTCCCTGGGCCCGCGTCCCCTTCTCCCAACTCATCCATCCGGACTCGCAGGTACATAAAATCAGGACGCGGAGTTTATACTTTCGAGATGAATTGTCTGTCTGCCTCATTAATTCTTTAAGGCAGTTGTGGAACGCGCTTTTCTTCCCTTTCTAGACAGACATCATCCCTTTAAAAATTCTTTTCGATTTTGCACATGGAAGGATAATATGAATTTAGTGTATATTCTTCATTGCGCTTGCATTTTTATTAGAGATAAATCATAAAAACGTTTCAGTATAAAGTGCATTGGTCGATATCGCTTCATTGAAATATTTCCAGGTTATCATTATTTCTCCTACTGTTTAATGTCGAGCGATGTGATGCATTCAATTAATTCGAATTCGTCATATCGACAAGGAATGAGAAATTCATGGAATTCATTAATTTGATGAACTCGCTGTAGTTATTTTATAAGCTATACATATCCACGTGCGATGAAGTAAGTCACGATGCCTTTTCTCTCCAGACCTTTTCAACTTTTTCATGTTTCAAGGTTCTTATCCTTGAGTAATGTGCACATTGCATCTGTGATCTTCACGAATGGCAAAGGCGTCCAGACTTCGCAGAAATATTCCAAGTTTGCAAAAAAAAATTTCTCACCTAGATGGAATCGGCTAAGAAGCTGCTGGAGTCGCTGTGGGTGTACGGCGTGGCCGCGGCCGTGGACGTGCCGCCGACGGTCGAGGACACCCGGAGGGCCGTGGAGGCGGTGGCGCCCATCATGCGCACGACCTTCGGGGACATCGCCGCCTTCGAGGCCAACCTGGAGCGCGCGGACACGGCCTACACCACGGAGTCCATCGGGCCCCACACCGACAACACCTACTGGACCCAGCCGGCCGGGTGAGAGTCGGATCGACTCGTTTTCAGTTTTATTCCGTGAATTCAGTCGTGGAGCACTAGAGACAAAGATATATATGAATGAAGCAATTTTTCCTGTTCTTGGTGCACGTGTGACGCAGATGCGGTAAATGTAATGGCCATAGAGCGGTTATAGCATTTAGTGCTTCGAAGGGAGCGAAGAGTTAAGTTCCTTTTGGAAAAGGTGGAATGGAATCGATCGTCATAATAAACGGATCTACCACAGAAATCATTAATGAAGAGAATCATGTTTAGCGAAAGGCATTAATCTATCATTCAACATTTTCTAGCATTTTTTCCCGCTCGTTTCCGCCCAATTTGAACAGATCGCGTCTCGCACGAATCGAGTCCGGCACTAAAACTCATACTATGACGACGAATTGCATAAACAAGACGTAAAAGATTCTCAACTGCAATTGGATCGCACGTCGAATTTCCAAATCCTTGCTTCCCAGGTTCCAAGCCTTCCGAAGTTGAAAATAGTTAAGTTCATCTGATCGCGGCGGCTCTTCAACTGCCTTGAAGTTCCTTCTCGCACATGCGCGATGAGACCGCCTGGAATTTGCCTGTTGAACGCATGAGTAGAATGCCTCCCCCCAATTCATCTGAGCCAGAGAGAGAGAGAGAGAGAGGCTGTTCTGTAGGCGAAAAATGAATTGAAGGCAAAAGACGAAGGCACGAACTAAACAGTTTCCTTCCCCAGTCTGCAGGTATTCCATTGTAAGCACCACGATGGGACCGGCGGAGAGAACATCCTGGTGGATGGACTGGCTCTGGCGAATGACATGAGCGAGGAGCATCCGGAAGCATATCGAATCCTCTCCACCGTCCCGCTTCCGGCCGAGTTTCGGGAGGACGAGGGTGGGAGGAAGAAAAATCACTTTGCCAATCTGGACTTCACCTTCAAGCACGATCCGGTCACGGGGCACCTCATGCAGATCCGGTCAGTTTGCGCACAAAAATATTTGGATCCACATTTTAAAGATGGAATTTAGTTAATATTATAAATGGAAGAATTTGTGTGGAGATGAGGGGTTCCATCGTCAGATCTCATCTTTCTGATGTAAATGTAATACATTAATCTCGTAGTGAATCCGAAAATAGGATTTTGCTTGCCTCTGCCACGAAAGAGGCTCTGAACCGTAATTTTAAGTCATGTACCTGAATGCTTACAATTTGCAGCATGGTCAACATCAGTGATTTTGTTGTTTGTTGTTAGTCACCCATGAAGGCACATGGATATTGGCAAAATTGGAAAATTCAGTATGGCCGACTCGGTTTTTCAGATACAATGCCTACGACCGAGCCGAGATGTCGACCCTCGAGGCCGACAAAGTGTACTCGGTCTATTCAGCCTACCAGACGCTGGGCCGCGCCATCGCCTCGCCGGCGCGCGCGTACGAGCTCAAGCTCCAACCGGGGACGACGCTGTTCATCGACAACTTCAGGGTCCTCCACGCGCGGAAGGCGTTCGACGGGCGCAGGGTCATGATCTTCGCCTACGTCCTCCGGGACGAGTTCCTCAGCCGGTTGAAGGTCGCGGGGGTCTTCAGCGGCTTGTGACTCCAATGAGTGACCTGAGGAATTAGTTCTCCCTCTCCTTGAAATTTGACTTGATGTGTGATGGACAGTAGATGTTTGGCAGTTATAACCTTTTCGGTTCCATTTCCGATTTTGTTAATTTCCCGCCGTAAGTGCTTTTGCTTCAAGGCTGGATCTGTCTGGAAAATCGAAAAGTGATGCATTCTTCTAACACTGATGCCGCTTTAATGCAATAATCGGATGGTAGGATTAAGTGAAATCTTGCGAAAGTGTTGCAAATATGCTTCAATGGGCATTGAAATGTCGGCATTCCATTCATTTCAAGGCGGCGTCATTCCATGCCGCGTGGTTCAAACAAAGATGATTGCTAAACCACTCGGATCATGCTTTTCGTGTGATTGGAATTGCGAGACGGTGGCAGTCAATTTCTGCAATCTACGTCTGACGGCCGTTTTTAGTTTTGAAATTTGAAAGTAAGGGGTAAAACCCCCCCCCCCCCCCCCGTCAAATGCAAAACCTTGGAAGCTATTATAGGAAAAGTTTATTAAAGCAGTTAATGAACTTTCTCTTTTAAAAATCGCAGATTTCTCCGTGAGACCTCTCCCTGTTGCCTCTCCAAAAAAATTTTGCGTGCAATATTCAGACGATCTCTACCAAGTGTATCGGATCGTGTCTCCTGATTCCATAGAGATGCATTCGTATTTTTCCCCGAATTTCCCAGGTCGCGTGTTTTCTCGACTGACGCGAGATGGCGCCTCTCGCGTCACGTAGTCACCTTTTGATACAGGTAAGTTATTGAGGAATCATCAGCTATCGTGTACCACCATACATAAATGTTCGCGAATTGACATACGAAGAATGATGCGCACTGGCAAAAAAGAAATAGCTAGCTTCCATCGAGTACAACCATCTCCAGCGCGAACTGCAAATGGAAACGAGGCGGTCTACTCTTCGTTCTCCTTATTCTTATTTATTATTCTCCTTATTTATTCCTTATTCATTTCCACGTCGGGGATTCCCTTTCACACGTCTCGAATGAGCGATCTCTACTGAGTATTCCTAGTTGCAATGAACTATTCATCGTTCTTACGAGGCTTTATCTCCAACGGTCGATGGTGGTAGAGGGAACCCCGATCAAGGTCAATATGGTCTGAATGGGCGATATCGCTGGGGATCTGTCACCTTCACCTAGAGGGTGTATTTGTTTAGAATACCGAACTTAAATTTGGTATTGTTATAAAACGGCATAAAATGTACTTTCTAATGAAATATTATAACTCGGGATTCGTGGAAAGGAAAGTGCAAATTAAGATTTCTCCGTGAGACCTCTCCCTGTTGCCTCTCCAAAAAAATTTTGCGTGCAATATTCAGACGATCTCTACCAAGTGTATCGGATCGTGTCTCCTGATTCCATAGAGATGCATTCGTATTTTTCCTCAAATTTCCAACCAAAGTCTCAGGTCGCGTGTTTTCTCGACTGACGCGAGATGGCGCCTCTCGCGTCACGTAGTCACCTTTTGATACAGGTAAATTATTGAGGAATCATCAGCTATCATGTACCACCATACCGAGATGTTCGCGAATTGACGTACGAAGAATGATGCGCACTGGCAAATAAGAAATAGCTAGCTTCCATTCAGTGCAACTATCTCCAGCGAGAACTGCAAATGGAAACGAGGCGGTCTACTCTTCGTTCTCCTTATTCTAAATTCATTTCCACGTCGGGGATTCCCTTTCACACGTCTCGAATGAGCGATCTCTACTGAGTATTCTTAGTTGCAATGAACTATTCATCGTTCTTACGAGGCTTTATCTGCAACGGTCCGCATGATGGTGATAGAGGGAACCCCGATCAAGGTCAATATGGTCTGAATGGGCGATATCGCCGGGGATCTGTCCCCTTCACCTAGAGGGTGTATTTGTTTAGAATACCGAACTTAAATTTGGTATTGTTATAAAACGGCATAAAATGTACTTTCTAATGAAATATTATAACTCGGGATTCGTGGAAAGGAAAGTGCAAATTTCGGTCGCTGAAGTCGGTCAAACTGAGCAAGGATAATTTTGGCACTACTGCTGCAGTCAAATATTCATATCTCGTGAAGCCATTAAGAGCCAATCTCAAATTTGGCGTCGTTAGAAATGGCATACCATGCAATGTTAAATGATGTATTGGAACCACGAATTCCCGCACACAAAAATCGCAAAACACCAAATGTATTCTGCACGGTGGTTGAGGTGTGCAAAATCACCCCAACCTACATTTAACACGATCGTCTATTCCGTCTTGTTCACACTCCTTATAAGTCGAAGCAAACGTTTCAACATTTCCTTCAAGTTTTTTCTCCATATTTGACACCCTTCATCTGTGAGATTTGGCGACTTAAATTGATTCCCAAACCCTAAGGCTTTGCGTGCTGACAGTCTCTCTAGATGTGAAACCGATGAGACTGAAGAGGGCGCCATTGAATAATATTCTCGTGGGTTTTTTTTTCTCCAATAGACCTTTCCATTTGGTTTTCTTCGGCACATTCAGCAGGAGAAATTCAATCAAAATTCTCATCTGCACGCTTGACTTTCCGAATGCAACGTCATGCTGGTATAATTCAGCGCTAACTGAGCAGAATGTGGGTGACTTAGAGGAAAATCACTCTCCATCGCCACCGGCTACGTACGCAAATAATTGCTCCAGGTCTCACCTGACCAGGTGAACCGTGTTCTCTTCATCGACTGCGTAAGAATCTCCTAGAGTGCGGGATGAAGGAGACTGCAAAGCCATCGAATAGCATCGGATGAATCGTTGAAGGCAAGAATACTGAAGGCAAGTTTGGCGCAACCACACTGATATTGCGTGACTTCACTTTCATCGAAACGACTGGGAGATGGCCGGATGGACTGGCCAAATGAGAGGCCACCCCGTACGTGCCCGACGTCTTGTGGGCATTCGTGGAACGTTCGACCTGGCTTCCATCGCGAACGTCGATTTCGGTCCCCCGGACGAACGCGCAAAAAAGTGGCATTTTCCGCCGGAACTCGAAACCGGGTGTCCCGTTGTGTCGTCTCACTGCCAAGCAAGCCACTCGACTCCTTGGCGGAATCTTCCCCGGATGACACCCGTACGTAAGGGTGTCATTGTGGATGGGACTCGTTAAAACTCCCACTGATCATCACGTAAACTTCGATTTCTTCTAATTGTTACGTGTGGGAATTAATGTTCTTTGGATGTGGCGAGGATTGTTTTGAGTCGAGGGTTCGGCACGGCAAACTCAGCAAGTAAACTCGGAAGTGACTCTTGAAAAGTTTTACAATGTAAAGATCCCGATAGGTCGATTAACTACGAATCACGCTCACAACACACTTCACACGAAAAAGAGCAAAAAACACTACAAAAACCTATTGTCAGATTCCTATTCCACGGGGTGAGGGGTCTCAAATCTGAATTTACGAAACAGATTGCCCTATTAATGTCCCCGCTTCCTCCACTCGCCCCTGCTCAGCCCACCCAGCACTGTACCCGCTGCCTTCCGGAACCCTTCTCCGCCACTCCTCCTTATCCTCCCCGGTTGTTGGTTCTCGGATTGGGAACGTTTTGCTTCCCGCAGGAGTGAGGGATGCGCGTGAACCCGTCCTGCATAGGGTCCATCGAACAGATTCTGATCCCATGGGAAGATTCCAGGGTCCTGGGTCCTGTCGCAGGGGTGTAGCGTCGACTTGGGCCTGTTGCAGTAACGAGGCTGCCCCTTACATCACATGATGCTCAGTCAAGCAGTATAGTCCGCGATGAATCTGGATTCCCATGACTTTCCGTGCCGACGAATCGGCGGGTTCTGCCACCTCCCTCCGAGGAATATCAAAGGAAAGTCGAATTCCTTTTCACACTCTTAGAAAATTCCGAGCGTTTGGGGAGTAAAAAGTGAGCACACCGTGAGCTTTTCGAATTTACTCTCTTATTACTCACGAAATGCTCCTTCACCGCTCGTATTGAAATGAACGCCTTGAAGTTCTTCGCCAGACCACTAGATGGAGGTTAGAGTCTCGTATTTCGCACAGTACACAAAAGTTCCCTTCACTCTTTCCCTGGAATCGTCCATCGCAGGATTGTTTAGCTCCTCGACTTATGTCTCGCCTAGTTTCATTATAGGAAAAATAAACACGAACACTTCTACATTTGTTATCTACATATTCAAGACACATTCATAGGGTCTAGGCCATATACGAGCTCATATTCATTTCGAGAACCCTTATGGAACACGAAGGGCCTCATCCGCAGAAGATATCTCGAATGGAGCGGGCGTCCGTGAACTCCATTCTATCATACCTCAACTCGATGAGAGAATGCGAATGAAGGACTGATATCCCGGGCATTTCACGGAACCATAAGAGGTGGTCCATCCTCTGACGTGTGCTGTAATCAGTACAGTCAGAGGAGGAGGATAGCAATTTTACTCCATGGCGATGAAGCAAATTCGCTCCTTTCCCAGTGTGAAACTGAAATGAACGATTTTACTCTCTTTATTGAGAGAAATCGCTCCCCTTTTTCTAGGAGTGCAAGAAGGGATGCCGTTAGTGGAGATGTTCCCAGCGCGAACGGGCCTGCCGCTTTCAAACGCCCTCCCATCTGGCTTTCGTCTTTTGAAGGCACATTGCTGCCTTTCGCGTGGCCTTCATCTCGCCTCGATCGACGCCATTCGGTGAGTCGATGCGAGGCGACAACATATACCTTGGGCTTTCCGATTCGGTTCTCAAGTCTTCGGTTCTCAAGTCTTCGGTTCTCAAGTCTTCGGTTCTCAAGTCTTCGGTTCTCAAGTCTTCGGTTCTCAAGTCTTCGGTTCTCAAGTCTTCGGTTCTCTTGGGAGAACTACTGCCTACTACTACTGCCTGAAGACGCCAGGACAGTGCAAGCGGAAAGTAACGGAACGTTCGCGTACATCCGTGTGCCTTTTTCTGCCCTCGCCATCGTGGGACGGTCGCACGCAAGTCGAGGGTTCGCAAAAGAAAAAGGTCACTGGTCTCGTCTGCTCGATTACTCTCACTCAACTCATTTTTTTACTTTCGTCTGACGCGTTCGCCGTCGTTGACGCCCATGTGCTTCGTCGACGCATTGTTTTTACTATTCCTTTGTTTTTAGCCCCTAACGCAATGTTACGGTTACTGTAGACGATCGGCATTGGCGCTTTGCATGAACCATGCGCCTCTGCGATGCATTTGCTTTCTGCGCAACGTCATGACGTGACGCATCTTCCTTCGTTCATTAAAATATTGAAATGGCTTGATTGAAACGTAGATGAATGGG